TGTGCTTTGATGAACGGAGCACAATCTAATTTTACCCGTGCAAGATGGCATAATATTCTTGGAATATTTTGTATGATTATGGTATGTCATACAATCCCCTCGGTTGTTCTGTTGAATGTCATTCACAAAAACCTAACGTGTATCTTCTACTCCAGGAGAGGCTCGAGACAACACTGGGTCCGGAAACTCCGGCGAACTCTTGGTGAGTAGACGTCTTCTATCGTTAGTGTGCTGTGAAAAGCCCGTCAGGTGCGTGGGTTCTAAGGCCGATCTTAAACGCCCTCAATTAAAAAGGCATCCAATGCAATTTCAGGGTGACAAAACTGGATTTTCAAAGCCAATTTTCTGGGCTGGGGTGTTAATGCAAGTAAGTTGAATCAATCATATCCCGTATCATACTGATATCTGTGAGGCAAAAATGCGATGTCGCTGGCGGAAAATGGTTGCTTCTTTTGTATCGTAGGCTGGATCTAGCTATCTATGGTCGGTAGTACCCAAAAAATAAAGCTATATAGCTTGTTTCTGCGCTATTTCAAATCCTTCAAGTATGATGATTAAATGTGCGAAGAATTGAAAATAGCAGTAAATGCCAAGATCAGATAGGTTTCCTCACCCAGAATATTTTTTTTATTTATTTTGCCGCCCCGAAATTTCATTGAATGTCTTTAACGACGCCGTTATTGTTGTTCTTTCAAACACCCCTGTCGCGTTTGTCTATGCTGGGAATCACAAAAGAAAAAGACGAATCATATGCTCAACATGTCACAGTATGACGTCCCCTCTAGCTCTACATGCATATCAATAGATATGCCAAAAAACAATTTGATCTTCTACCAAGATCCACATATGAGGAATATCATTTAATCTAACTACGAATATGATACATAATTAATATTTTTCAATTGCCTCCGTTGTGTATGCAATTGTTGTATGTTGCGCAGTGCTGCCTGAAAAGCCCGTTGTAAGACCGAGTTGTGTGCGTGTATATGAAAAAGTGAAAGTGACGTGAAAGTAATCTGTCATAGTCCGCCATCTTCTACCACTTTTATTCGCAAACAGGTTGTGTTTTTGACACCTACATTCATTGCAGAATAATAAGTCTTCTTAAAAATATATTCCTGATTGAAAATTGACGTCCAAGCCCGCAGTATATATGTATATATGCGTGGGTGGCAGCTGTCAGACGCAGACGTTTTTGAAATCCATTTAAAAATTGGTTTGCTCAAGAGCAT